TGTGATCTATGTATTGTAATATGATTAGCGTAATGTATTTAAAGAATCTTAAAATGTTTGTTATAATACATTTTCTTATGGTTCGTCTAACGAAAGCAGGTATATTGGCCTAAATGTAAATTAACACAGGCTCGTATTGGCCTGTAAGGAATTTGGAAATGATAAGCAATAATATGGTCTAAACTTAATTTGGAATAGGGACTATTTATAAATTGTTGCACTCAGAGGCGTAGCAAGGGGGGAGGGGGGGGGGGGCGGGGGTGCAAATCGAAAGTTTGAGGGGGGGGGGGTGCAAATCTAAAACTGCAGGGGGGTGCAAATCGAAATGAGGGGAGGGGGTGCAAATCGAAAATGTGTCCCTGGGAAGGGTCGCTACGCCTCTGGGGGGTGACACCATTAAGTGCCGCACCGGGTGACACCCGACCTCGCTACGCCACTGGTTGCACTTGATATAGACTATTATAATAGATTGACGACAGAAGCCTGTGGTTGTATATAACACATTTAATGGGTCTAACTACCACGATGGTAAGACACAGAGAGGACTGAAGGAAGTACACAAGGGACATCACTCAAGATAACAATATTATAAATATAACTAATACAGAAGAGTGAGTTCCCTTGACCTCACAATTATTTCAATCTATTACATCCCTTTACCCTTAGAACACAATAACACATCTCTCAATAGAACAATTGATAGTATCCTAAAATCACCAATTATATTGTAACATGAACACTATGGTAGATTACATCCTTACAAACAATGCACAATATGCTACAACATAATCAAAATACAAAACAATAATGTCAAAGTCCTTTTGACCTTTAGAATCATAGGTCTAACTTATTTGGGACTTTGATTGTCCTGCTTGACCTTCTCAGTGGCTTTTGATTTGGTGACTCAAGATTCTGACCATCTGGATTCTCTATCTCAGGAGGTCTAGGATTTAAATCATTAACTCCAGAATTTACATTTTCTGACTCCAGACAACTTGGTTCACTCATATCAACAGAACTTGGTTGTGGAACAAACTGAGTTGGTGTGAACTGATCAGATTTGGTGGGATTGATAGATTCACACTTATTATCTGCACAAGTTATTTTCAACTGGTCTGCATGTCTACGGACAATAAGTCCATCATTTGTTTTTACTTTATAAGACACAGGTCCTGTACATTGAACAATTTGACCTGGTATCCATTTTTCCTTTCTCCCATAATTTCTTAGATACACATTCTTATTAACACCAAATTCTCTTTCAATGAATGTCTTGTCATGATTTAATGGAACTATTTTTGAATTGGCATCTGGAAGTATTATGCTGTTATTCAGATCCTTAATTGACATAGATTTCTTTGATTGATCAATTTTCTCAGGTAATCTGATAGTGCTTTCCTGGTAACCAAAAATACTGTTTAAAGTAATATTCTGGACCATATCACTTTGCAACTGTGATCCAGTATTTGAAGTGGGTGTATTAAATTGCAAAAATCTTTTTCTTCTTTTGATGTTACCCTTTTAGTTTCTGTAAGTGCTAATGATGTTAGCAAAGTTGTTTGATGATCACATTCCTTCTTACTAATGTATTTTCTTTAAAAACATTTGAAATTGCCATATCACCATAATCATTTATTAAGTTACAAATACTTTGTTTAGGCAACTCTGACTGATAATGGACTGTATCTTCTCCATCTTTTATATTATCTTCACAAAGGTTTTTATTTCTTATTTAATATGGCTTTAAGTCATCATTCACAGACTCTTCAGGCCAACCATTCTTACAGTACTCATATACTTTTATTAAGCACTCATCTTTTTGTGTTTCTCTTTTAATATCATTCACATTTATATTGGAGTTATCCATGATAGTGAAGAGAACAAATACATCTTCTGGTACATAGCTCAGGCTTTGGTTTTTTTAAAGGTAATCTACTAAGACTATCTGCACTATTCTCAGATCCAGGTTTGTATTTCAATTCATAATTGTATGCAGTTAGTGTGATAGTCCATCTTTGAATTCTTGGTGAGGCATGCTCAGGTAGGGTTTTGTTTTCTCCAAATAAACCTAGCAATGGTTTATGATCTGTAAAGATGGTGAACTTCCTACCAAACAGAAACTTATGAAATTTCTTAACACCAAAAATGATGCCTAAGCCTTCCCTATCTAACTGAGAAAATTTTTCTCAGCCTGGTTCAAAGATCTACTGGCAAAAGCAATGGGTCTGTCACCCTTCTCATCCATGTGGGACAAGACTGCTCCTACACCATCTGGTGAAGCATCACATGTTAATATAAGTCTTTTCCCTGGGTCATAGTGAGTTAGTAAGGTGTCAGCAGACAAAGCCTCTTTTGCTGTATTAAAAGCAGCTTCTTGTTGTTTACTCCAGTGCCAAGTTGCATTTTTCTGTAGCAGCTTGTACAGTGGTGATAGTTTACCAGACAGATTTCCTATGAACTTTGCATAGTAATTTATCAAGCCCAAAAAAGCTCTTAGTTGTTGAGTATTTTCAGGTTTGGGTGCTTCCTTAATGGCTTTTGTTTTCTCAGGTTGAGGTCTGATGCCTTGCTTGCTTAATATATAACCAAGAAAACTAATTTCTGTCAGCATGAATTGACATTTATCTTTGTTTATCTTTAAACCTTTTTCACCAACAATTTTCAATACTTTATCAAGTGTTTTAAGATGTTCAGTGTCATTCTTACCAGTTATGTACACATTGTCAAAGTACACACAAACATTTGGAATATCCTTAAAAATACTGTCCATGACAGCTTGGAAAATTCCAGGGCTAGATGATATACCAAAACATAGCCTTTCATATTGGTAGAGTCCTTTATGTGTGTTTATTGTCGTATAGACTTTTGAATCTGGATGCAGTTCTAGTTGAGTGTAAGCATGACTAAAGTCTAATTCAGTGAATTTGTCTCCTCCTGCCAAATTCAAAGAGATTTCCTCAATGTTAGGTATAGGGTACCTATTTAGCTCTATTTGCTTATTCAGTGTAGTTTTATAATCTCCACAAATTCTTATAGAACCATCCTTCTTTAACACTGGCACAATGGGCGTTGCCCAATCTGAATAGTCTACCTTCTTTATGATGCCATTAGATTCCAATCTACTTAGCTCATTTTCAATTTTATTCCTCATTGCATAAGGTGGAACTCTAGCTTTGCAGTATCTTGGATTTGTATCTTTAATGCTTAACTTCACTGTTCTATCATTTAGTAATCCAGAGTTACCAAAAACACATTTATTTTCAGATATAACTCTATCTAGTGAAGTAAGACTAGATTCTTTTCCATTGTTCAATGAACAAATACTCTCCCAATTTAACTTAAGATCACTTAACCAGTTCCTACCTAGTAATGGCGGTCCATTTCCTTCAACCACAAGAAGAGGAAGTTTAACACTTTCACCATTATAACTTACATGAACCATACACTCTCCTATTACCGGAACATTGTCACCAGTGTATGTTGTTAGACACTTGTGACATGGCTGTAGAGGCACTGATTCTCCTGTGACAGCGTCAAAATCTTTCTTTGTTATGACTGTTAGAGATGCTCCATTGTCAAGTTGGAAGCTGATGCTCTTACCGTTGATATTAACTTGTACATTGATGGGAGCATGACTTATTGATTTAACAGAGAACAGGTTGAAATCCGGCTGCAAATCAATTTGAGCATTTTCACAGGTAGAGTGGTTCATTGGTTGGGTTAGGTAGTCTTGGTGAGAGTTAACATAGTGCTGCCCTTGGTTGCGGTACTGTCTTGACTGGCTAGATTTAGCAACAGACGAAGACTTTGCAAAGCAGGCCTTGGCAATGTGACCTTGCTTACTGCACTTATAACAAGTTGCAGACTTGAACTTGCACCGATGAGATGCATGGGGACCTTTGCATCGATGACATTTTTGATAATTATTACTAGATTTAGATCTAGGATTTGAACGAGCAGGCTGTTTAGCATAAGTTGGAATGCTCTGATGGGGTTGATGTTTATTGACTAACCTGCTGTTTACTGCATGGATCCCTGAAGGCGTAAGAGATTTCGCCGCATCTGATGACTGCTGGAATAAAATTGCAAGTTGTATTGCTTTTTCCAATTTTAGATCTGACTCGAGCAGCAACTTTCTTTGAATATCAGGGCTGTTTACACCTGTCACAAACTTTTCACATAATCTGTCAGACAGCGTGTCTCCAAATTCACAGAATCTACTTAAATGACGTAAAGCAGCAACATATTCTGATATTGACTCGTTTGGTTGACGAGTCCTACTGTCAAATCTAGCTCTACATAAAAACTTTGATGGGGTAGGCGCATGGTGGTCTGTTATCAATTTGCTCAGCTCGTTAAAGCTCTTGGTATCTGGACTAGCTGGTGCGCATAAGTCCTTTAGTAGCCTGAATTGTTGAGGCCCTATGACTGTTAACAAAACAGCTCTCTTTTTGGCTTCTATCGTCACGTCGTTAGCTTCTAGGTAAAAGCTTAACCTCTCTAGGTAATCTTGAATGATTTCATCATTCGCATCAAATTCTTTTATTTGGCCATACAGCGCCATAATTCTAGAAATAATTAGCTAATAAGCTCTAGCAAACCTCTTTTTTGCGTAAGTAGGTGCTCTTTCTAGTAGATGTTTATCCTTCGTCGCCAGTTATAATAGATTGACGACAGAAGCCTGTGGTTGTATATAACACATTTAATGCGTCTAACTACCACGATGGTAAGACACAGAGAGGACTGAAGGAAGTACACAAGGGACATCACTCAAGATAACAATATTATAAATATAACTAATACAGAAGAGTGAGTTCCCTTGACCTCACAATTATTTCAATCTATTACAACTATAGTCTATGTCTACAGAATGTTTCTTTACGTTTTAATACGATATTGTTGATAAACTAATTTATTTTAGCAAACGCCTTTCATTATTAGATAGATCCTAATTATAAATAAATATTTTTTTAAAAGCCGAACTTATTTTATTAAACGGAAGTAAAGACGTCATAAATTCACTAATGGCCGACGCTGTTCGTATAAACATGACTACCGCAGTACTTTTATTTATCGTATTTTGTTTGATGTGTTTTCAAAATTCATCTGGTTGGATTCACAATCTCAAATTACAGGTATAAAATTTAATTTTCAAATCTTTGAATAGGCTACTTAAAAAGTGGTATTTTCTGTACTCAAGGTAGAAAAGGCATAAAAATGTCAAATAAAAACTTGCTCAGTCGAGTCCGAGTAGTCAGTGATGACTTGGACTTGAGTGAGACTGAGTCACTCAATGATCTGTGTCTTACTCAGGCACCATACCACTGCCAGCACTAGTGATTATATGTAAATTGTCTTTCAATGGGGGGCCAAGATTAGTCCCCGAAACAGGCCATGGGAGAACCAACCCCATTAATACCCTGCCAATAGGCCTATTGGGAAATTTTTCCTAATTATTATAGAATGATAAAAAGGACCCAGATTAATCCTATAATATACCCCATTGATAAAAATATCAAAAATATCATTCTAGGCCTAATAGTTTTTTTTATATGAATTTTCAAAGTTATGTGTTTAACTTGTTATGTTTCATTCGAGACGTGTGATTGGCTTTAAACTTGCATACCAATGTTGCTATTAAAGATATAATGATAAAACTTTGCACATTTGTACTCAATGATATAGGCAATAGAAGTCTACAAATAAAATAAAAATTAGAAAAGAGGTAACTAGAAATAATGAAGTTAAATTAAGGGGTGTGACACTGTTCTATAGTGACTGCCATAAGACTTCATAAGAGGATTTCCAGACTGCACAGCTAGGTTGCTATTCCATATACCATCATGAAACTTTATATATTAGGACTAGAGCTTGTAAAAAATACAATCATGCAAGTAAAATAAACATAGATAGAGGAAAACTATAAATAGTGAACTTGAATATGGTACAGTGCAATTAGACTATGATGATTAACTACAGGCTAATATGTTGCACTTCTTTGTTGCTACTATAAAAATAAAGATTAAACTTTACATATTGATTCTGGTGTTAGTAATAAGAAAGTTAGAACTTACAATTCAAGTACAGCACAATATGATCAAGATACTTAACGATTTGCCTTAAACATTGCATTTGTATCCCTGTATAACATGGTAAAAATGTTATTATTAATTTAGAAAATTTTGGTTCTTGTAATGTTTCTGATGAAAAGTGTTGAGGTGTGCTAAAACTCAAAGATTGACATTTCACAGTATTCTTATTTATAAAATGTTTAGTGGAGTTGATGTATCCTTTGATAAATTCTTAAATGACATTAATTAAAGTGTTCATGTTTTCTTTCTATTATAGTTGCCTATAACTAAAACTGTAATGCAGTGCAGCTTATAAAATTGGGCATTATTATTTTTAATTTAGGCCCTTTATAGTACTTTATAGATCTAGATACTACAGATAGTTGAGATAGGCCTGTCAGTATTTACATAAAGGCCTAATAGTTTATATATATATATATATATATATATATATTTTATATATATATATATATATATATATATATATATATATATATATATATATATATATATATATATATATATATATATATATATATATATATATATATATATATATATATATATATATATATATATATATATAATTACACATCTCTAGACCCATTATTTTAGTGTTTTCATTTCCATTTAGATCTAGATTTAGATTCTATTTTTTTTTAAACTGTTTACAATAAATATAGATTTTTTCTACTTGAAAATGCCTTTATAATCTATTTATCAGCAATTCGTTAATGCTAGTTTGCTAGATCTAGTTAACCTGGTATTAAGAAGGTTAATAAAAATCTGGCTAATTAAAAATTTTATAATTTATTTAGGCAGCAATTAGGCCTAATTACATTCTTTCCATTTTTAATCTAATAATTTAGATCTACAGTATATTTTAAAGCCCATTTTATTGTAACAGTCCATTTAAAAACAAACAGCTATTAAAAAACATTGTTTGCGCATATCTATTAATATCTCGTAACCCGGCCGCCATTATGAAATTACGCATGCTTTCTCGTTCCTACCCCTACGAGTTTTATCGCGCTACTCCTCCTTAGCCCGTGTTTAGAAACCCTCAAATCGACATTTCTATTTATCCAAATGGTTGGCATGCTATTTAAGCCTATTTTCATACAATTTAGAGGATTATTTATATCTGAAATTTAGTTGTCAATGCGCCAGTTCGGTAGCGTCGGCATTACGACAAATATTTTCTATTATGGGTGACCGCTTTCGGTATCGGACAATGTAAAACGGGAGCTAATTCATTTATTAGTATGTATTAAAGATGAAATTCAACTCAAATATTCATATCGAATACATTTTATATTCTTCGATTCTGATGGCGAGAATTAACATGTTAAAAAATGGCGAATTTCAACAAGTACGATGAAAAAGTCAGGATGTGGTCGTACCGAATCGAAACAGCGGAAGTCGAAATGCCTACCCTGCCAATGACCAAGTAGGTACAAGAAAGATAATGGCTGAAACCAAAGTCAGTGCAGGCAAGATGGGCGTAAGCCTTAGTAGTGCGACAGAACCCCTGCACAACAGCTGAAGGAGAAAGCCAGCCCCCCTTACATTATAAGCGTGCTAGCCTGGTCACCAGGAAGCCTCTATTTGTCTGAGAGTGGAAAGATGATCATAGCTACAGCTCATCCACCAAAGCAACAAAAGCACCATTGACTCTGATTTCAGCCTGCTTTTCTTTTTCGATTTGCTTTCATAGCCTTAGTCCAACCAAGAAAAAACTACAAGGCAGTAGTTATTTGATTTTGGAGTTGTCTCTCCCTGGTCCAAAGAGTAACTGTCCCCAGCTTACTAGCCTCAACTGAACTTTTAGCAACCATGAGCTTTACTGATTCGACCATGCCAACTGGGGAGGTTGACATCCTGGCTTTGTAGGCGATCGATTGTATTTGTCACAAGCTTGTTTTTATGTCCGAACACCCCAGCAGTCAAGCTGGGTAACAGATGGTAGGACATCCCTGTGCTTCTGAGCTAACTGTACACACAACAGACTATTATTATATAGGCCTATGTAAAACAGTAAAGTTAACTCTATGGATCTTTTCCAGATAATCCCTGCCAAATAGTTAACCCCGCCACCCATAAAAGATTTTTAAAAAGAGGTTATGAATCTTGTACTTTTAGTTTTTAACCCTAATCCTAGGGGCAGATAATGAGTTATTTTTATGGTGTGCATTTAAAATAATCAAATGTCTAGACATCAGAAAAAGGTCACTGTTGCGTGCAGAAAATTGGAGTTGGCAAAAGCTATTCGTCTGTGCACTTCACTTTTTGCATTAATGGTGGAGCTTATCTGGAAAAGATCCAACTTAATTATTTTAATGAACCTTTGTAGATGAATTATCAGCAATACTTATCTGCCAGTCCTTCCAGTAGATAGACCCTTCTTTCAGACATAGATAGGTCTGGGCGTAGATAGAAACTCGGATTTTTTAAATTTTCAAATCACTTTTCATCGTAAATTGCAAAATCTGTTTAATCAAAGTGAATTAATTATTTAAATTTTGGGGAATTTTACAGTGCTTACTTTTACATAAACATTTCATTAATAATAATTTGCTTCACCTAATAAAGCTTACCATTTCAGTGCTGTCTGTATGATTTTGAAATAATTAGAAAATTAAATAGTTTACATTTCAGTTTCAGACAGATCAGGGTATATAATATAAGTGTCTCTAACAACATTCTTGGTAGAACTTTTAAAAGAACTACTGATATCATCATCCTGTGTAGTTAACATCATATTTATGTTTTCTCTCATTGCAGACAGATGATAGGAGAGACATCATGTTAACCCACACATTTGGTTTCCTAAAGGCAGGGACATTGACTGTCAACGTGACCATGTTTTCTTTTAAACCAATAGTAAATGTCACCAATACTGTAAGTACTCTGATTATTTTATGTGTTAAATATTATCAAATTACAGATATAAAACAAAGAAATAAATTTATTTCACAAAAATAACTTGAACCACCACCTTATTGCTTAGAAGACAAGTTGCATTTTAAAGTAACGGTTTGCATGTTAGTTTGTTAAATGTTTGGTAAAACTTGAAGATAAGTCAAGAAACAAAAATGTATTGAAATATAGTTAAGTCAGTTTCGTTTTATTTATTTTGAAGACTTTTTAAAATATATCTTTTTTAAAAATGTGTAATTTGTGTTTATTCAGACTTTTGGCTTTACATTGGATAAAAGTAAAAGTCCTGGTCTCAATAGTTATGTGGTAAGTAGGCCATATAAGCATTAGACATTGTTGATTGCACATGTTTTCACTTTTAGAATTACTGTTTTTTTAAATTAAATATCAAGATACAAGTAGTATTTAAAAATGTTAAGTTAAACTTAAAATCCTATGTTTTGTGATTCTATTATCTTTAATCATAAGATCAAAAGTGGCATATTAATTAATGTTTTTTGTGGAAATGGGTAAATCCAATTCTATGGAAAGAACTTCTTTTGAATTGCTATACAAAAAATGTCATTTCTGTTTATTCAAACAAAATCAAATGTGGCTGCTAAATCAAAATCTCCATCTCTTCTAATATTACAGGAGAGCATGCAGAAATGTGCCCTTAATGATACAGAGACAAAAGATGCCACTGTTATTTTTAGATTTGATTTTGTCACTAAAAGGTAAGTTTTGGGGTTACTACAAAAAAATAGCTTAAACTTTAGTCATGTTTATAAGATTCATAATTTTTTCTTCTGTTTTGCAAACAGTATATATGTGGAAAGAAGGGGCGATGACTTAAAACATTTGCTCATTTCTGCCACACCTGCGGCTACAGTGGCTCCCCCTACACAAGGCAGCATAACAACAGGTAGTCATTTAAATCATGCACATGTCTTAGATGACAACTTAGTTTTGTTTTATTTTTATACTTGGTAGTTTTTATAGAATATACATAACACTAAGTATGGGACGGCATGGCTTAGAGGTAGAGAGCTAGCCTGCTTACCTGAAAGTCTTGATTTCAAATCCAGGTTCAAGTCAGTAGAACGTCCCAGCTCTTAAGGGCACCAAACTCAGGGTTAAGGAAAGCATGGGTGGCTGGGCATAGTGCTGACCACACTATTCCTTCATATGCCGATGTCTCTGAAACAAACTCTACTTCATCTGTCCCATGTGTCTGGGCGCTAATGGGAAAAGATGATAACACTAGAAACAAAATACTAATGTGTACCTTTGACTATTCATTTGACTGTAATCTTGGTTTGTTAAACCAGTCACTGCAGACAGTACAACAACTAAACCCACCAAAGCACCAGATGTTCCTGATGGGAAGGCCCCACCAAATGACTTTAAATCTGGCAAATCTAACAGGTAATTTATCCTGACTGTAACTTGGATTCATTTTTTCTTTCTTTTCTAAAATGCTGATTGTTATATTCTAAATATTCTTTTTACTGCTTTTAAGTCTTAAGTGGTAGGTAAAGTCCCCTCATGGACCCATCAGGAAAGTGAAGTAGAGTTCACCTGTTAAGTGTTGAATAATGGCTTGCACAATCACTTCACCATAACCATGAATTAACTTTCCTTATTTATAGCAGTTCAATGATTTCCTTTTGTTGTGGTCTAGTCTATAATCTGAGCACCTTGGATCAATAGTTGTTGAACCTAATATAATCTATAACAAAAAATTAACACAAATACCTTTACTCCTTAAAAGAGTTTGTGTTCATTTTGTAAGGGATATTATTCTAAAGGGATGCAAGACAATAATTAATGTAAATTAATGCTTGCATTTTTCTTTGTTCTGAAAGCTGCTTTGCCATACGGCAAAATTGTGTCATATAGACTTAGAAAGCATTAAAATCGGCTAATTTTTTTATTCAAAACGTTTTACTTTTTAAAATGCTTCTGTTTTGATTTTGGCACTTGACAAGCCTAATATAAAGTCTTAGTATGTGTAGTGGGCAACAGTTTGTATTTAGATATTATATATAAATATATTCTTGTAGTTTGTGAACTGGGTAGTTTGTCAGTTTCTTATATATATTTGTTTTCAGAAAAAAAAGAGCTGTAGATAGCCAGAAAGAGACTCCAAGTACAACTACACCACAGGTATCTAATAAAAACATTTATTTGATGATAAGTGATAACAAGCAGGTAGAACTAAAGGCCAACCTACATCCTCATGTCAATGGGCACTTCTAAACACACTCAACAATATGCTAACCCACAAACTCCCAGCTTCTGACTCGGAAACCCACTGTCACCTTTCAGTTAACTAAATGTGCTAATCATTGGGGGGGGGGGGGGGGAGGCAGAATGGTTGGGAACAACACTAAAGGCTCTTCATTTAGGCTCAACTTAAGCATTAAGGGATCATGCACATATTATATAAATAGATGGGGGTAGGATGATGGCGTTTAATTTTGTTATATTTTTTTATGTGGTGTAGAGCGTGGTTCTTAAACTTGTTGGAGGTACAGAACACCACCAGTTTCATATTTGCATTCACCAAACTTTCTTTTAAAATTTAACACAAAATCCGATTGCGAATCACATGAATCGGATATGTGTCTTGACCTCCCCCGAACTCTCGAGACTGACTGGTGTAGAGTGATAGTATCAATCAGAGTTACATAACACTGCATTTATTTTTCTTAAATTTACATTTGTACAAAATTTAACAGATTGGCACATTAATTCCCATTTTCAAACAATAATTTGTACTGATAATGATTATGCACTGATGATTTTATCAATACTATATTTACATCAACAGACAACAAATGTGGTTCAGAAGAAAGAAACCATTCCATTGAAAGTTACTGGTATAGAAGATGGATTAGTCTACTATCAAACTTATGTAAGTAAAAATATGAATTAACACTTAGTTCTTTCTTTAATGAAGAAATTTATCAAATAATTACAACATTCTACTTTAGTTATTTCATTTTTTTTCCCACAATCATTAACTTTAAAGTTTTTAGATGGAGACTTAGTGATTGAGCAAAGAATAATGTAGTACACCAACAGTAATATTTATGAACTAATTATTTACTCAGGCATATATGCTACTCCTGGGACTATTGTGTACCAAACAACAATGAAATAGTAAAAGGAAATATGGTTGATTTTGTCACAATGTCTCCCATGTCCATAGAAATACCCTACCTCATCTCCTGTATAGACCTACTTTAATGTTTAGCTAATAAATCAGATTTTGTTGAAAACTCAAAATTAAAAATATATATATATATCTGCCACATCAATAGAAATAGTTATTCCTACCTAACCATTTGAATAAACCTTAATTTTTCATCAAAATAATATGATGTTGATACCACATAATTTATGTATTTATGTTTGTTTTGATATGTTGTACAGTTTCAAGTGACTGTGAGTAAAGATTCTGAAGAAGGTCTCTACAACTTGTACTTTCACAACTGTAGGAAAGAAAATACTTTGGTCAATCTATCTGTAAGTTTTTGTTTCCTTAACACGGGCATGTAGAAAAGTTGAATCACCACAGTTTTATCATATTTGTGTTGTGTGCTAACATTTAGTTAACTAGAAATAGTGTTTTGAACTAATGCCATATTAAACTAGACAAGAAAAAATGTATTTTCATCATGTCATTTATTTTTATTTAAAAAATTTTATAATATTATACGAGTCCTAATAGTAGAAAAATAATCTAACTGAAGTTTATATTAGATTAAATTCCTATTAGAAATTTTTATTTTATGAAATAAATGCATAGTTAGAACCAGATTTTAAGGTTTATAACTATCGATTTTAAATAACAAATTTAATAATTTCAGTATTCACATTTAAATCTTATTGAAAATTAATAATTTACTTCCATTTTTTTTTAGATTCAAATAATACAGAAAAATGACCAGAGTTATCTGTCCGCTGATGAAATGCCCATCCCCACTTTGTACTTTGTGTTCAGTGTTATCTTCTTCATTATGACCATCCTTTGGTTTGTTGTGTTGCACAAGGCCAAGTAAGTCTTATCTGTATTGGATCTGTGTAGTGGCATATCAATTAATTGCTTGATTTAGGCCTACTTGTTATTTTTTAATATAACTTACATATACATAATTGTGGAGAGTAGTTGCAATCAGTGTTGCTCTGTATCCTTTGCTCTGAATCTCTACTAACCATAGTTGCACAACAATATTTTTGAGATGTAACTAAATATTGCTGAATATTATTTGCTTTTACTTAAAATAATTTTTCTATCTTCTGTTCCTCACAGGGAAGGTGTGTACAAGATTCATTACCTCATGCTAGTCGTTGTTTTCTTCAAGAGTATCTCTAATCTTTTTCATGGGGTGAGTTTTTTAAATGAATCAGTGGCCTAGGCAGAGAAGTGTTTGGGGTTTTAAACCCCAAATTGACAAAAGTTACAATTATTGGTGATGTTGCTCATGTGTGACTTTCAGTCCTCTCAATTATAACTTTTTGAATGGTATAAAGCCACAAATTAAGTGGTTATTTTTGTATCCAGACATGGAGATTTTTTAGAAAAATAACCCCCGTTACAAAACCATACTCCTAAAAACAAATTCTGTATGGTATTCTCAAAATGTTGATTGCATATAATTCCTATGTAGAGGTATACTAAATATAATAGTTGTCATATTATTTCAGTAATTTAGCTAGGTTGATAGTAAAAGAAAATATTGATGTTATATTATTTTTGTTTGTTATTCAGGTAAACATGCATATGATTGAAAAGACAGGTATCCATGTTGATGCCTGGGCTATCTTGTGGTATATAGTGTATTTGTAAGTACTTCTGTTTTATTATCACTATAAGAAAAATAGCTGACATTCACATTGTTGTTACTTGATTAATAAAATCCCTTGTGAGATTATATATTGCATTGGTAATATTGAATACAAAATCTACAAAATATATACATTTATTTTGGTTTCCACGTAATAAAAAGAAATGTTTTGGTATTTGAATCCAACAGGATGAGAGGTGCAGTTCTGTTTGTTACGGTTCTTTTGATTGGTGCCGGCTGGGCTTTTATAAAACATGTCTTCACAGACAGGGAGAAAAAATTGTTTTTGATTGTCATTCCATTGCAGGTGTGTTGAGATGTAGTTGATTTAAAGTTACTTCCCATTTGTGTATCTGTTTCATGCTTGCTACTTTAATATAATAACTTTGTCTTTAACTGAGAAATAAGTTAATTATTATTTTTTTGTTCTGAGTTCTTGGTACAATATGAGTTTTTAAACTCAATCATGCCTTAAATTAATTTCATTGTGGATTTAATTCAGCAATAAAATAACCTGATTTTTTTTACAAATTAAATGCTACCTTAGCTTAAATTATGGTTTTGCTTTAAGTTAGCCATAACTTATTTAAATTACAGTATTATGTAGGCCTACTTATTTCAAACACAAATGCAACATATACATTTAATCTGATATATTTTTAATCACTACCTCATGTTAAATACCTGACCATGTCTTTTACTAGTGATTAAAATTCAATAAATGTTTATAACTTTTTTTTATAACTTTTAGATCTTAATGAATGTGGCGTGGGTTATAGTTGAAGAAAGTGAAGAAGGCTACCCATCCTATGATACTTGGCACAAAATTTTTATGGGTGTTGATCTGCTCTGCTGTTTTGCCATTCTCTTCCCTGTGATCTGGTAGGTGTATGTGGAGAAAAAACTAAGACTTTTAATGTGTTGTGAGGTTTTTATTTGGTGAACATTTTAGTTTTATTGGGATTTATAGGCTATTTGGTTTCCAATTTTAAGTTTTTGGATGATTATTTGGTTAGTCCGAATCATGAAATTCTTACTTGGTCAGCACTTTTAAGTTATGGGATTCTGGGTTAAAAGCCCTTTTAAGTTTTAAGATTCTGTGTTAGTAGCCCTAGTAAGTTATGAGATTCTGTGTTAGTAGCCCTTTTAAGTTATGGGATTCTGGGTTAAAAGCCCTTTTAAGTTTTAAGATTCTGTGTTAGTAGCCCTAGTAAGTTATGAGATTCTGTGTTAGTAGCCCTTTTAAGTTATGGGATTCTGGGTTAAAAGCCCTTTTAAGTTTTAAGATTCTGTGTTAGTAGCCCTAGTAAGTTATGAGATTCTGTGTTAGTAGCCCTTTTAAGTTATGGGATTCTGGGTTAAAAGCCCTTTTAAGTTATGAGATTCTGTGTTAGTAGCCCTTTTAAGTTATGAGATTCTGTGTTAGTAGCCTTTTGAAGTTATGAGATTCTGTGTTAGTAGCCTTTTGAAGTTATGAGATTCTGTGTTAGTAGCCTTTTGAAGTTATGAGATTCTGTGTTAGTAGCCCTTTTAAGTTATGGGATTTTTTACTTTGTGAAATAGAAACTGTATTGGAATTTAGTATAACTGGGAGAGGATCTTTCAGATGTGGGGATTACATGATTTAAGCATTGTTTGTTTACTTTGTAGGTCTATCAGACATCTTCAAGAAGCCTCCAAGACTGATGGTAAAGCTGCCATCAATTTGAACAAGCTTAAGCTGTTTAGGCATTTTTATATTATGGTAATGATAGATGTTGATTATGCATTTGTTAAATGTAGAATGTTATTTATATCTAGTTACACTACTAGTTACCTGTGTACTTATTGATTCTTAATTTATGCCCAGACTTACTGTACAAGTTGCTGGATTATTTGTGAGAGTAGATTGTAATTCAGATGTTTATGTATCCATTAGCCAACTCAGCTTTTAATTGGTACCTGGTCCAAGTGGTGGGAAGTTATTGCAATCACATATTGTCCTGGTCCATCTTCTTAATTACCATTTACTTAAAAATACTTAATCTTCTCCATTAAAAAACATACAAAGTAGAAGACATAATTTAAAAAAAAAAATATACTACTTTCCTCTTTTGCAGGTTGTTGCTTATATTTATTTCACAAGGATCATTGGATATTTGCTATTGGTATGATTTCATGCTTATGTTTTAAATTATCTGATCTTAAGGGCATGGGCGGGTTAAACGATTCTAAGATGCCTGCCATGGCAATGCCAGAAAATTTTCATCCATTTTTTATTTTATTTTTAGACAACTCTTTGAGTTATAACTTAATGCTAAATATGATAGCATTAGGTTTATAAAAAAGCATTTCGGTTAATTTGGTTTTCAGCACCAGTCCATGCTCTTAAAAGGGTTTGCTCACTTCGCTTCCATTCCAGCAGTTATGGATACTGTACCTTACTGTAACAGAATTGCAAAAAGCTGTTAATCAGTTAAATCAAATATGCATTGATAGTTGTCTTTTAAGTAATGTTACACTATTTTTAAAATACTTTTATCTTTTAGTTAATTCTACCTTTACTTATTCAAACTGATTTTTATATTTTAGATAACTGATAACTGCCTTATGTTATTCAAACTGATTTTCATCTTTTAGATAACTGCCTTATGTTATTCCAACTGATTTTAATCTTTTAGATAACTGCCTTACGTTATTCCAACTTATTTTCCTCTTTTAGATAACTCTGCCTTTCCGCTATGGATGGATGAAAGATTTATTTGAGGAAGTTTTCCTGCTAGTCTTTTTTGGTTTGACGGGCTACAAGTTCCGGCCGACCAGTGACAACCCCTACTTGATGGTACCATTAGACAGTGATGACGAGGAAGAGATTGAAATGGACGAAGTGTGAGTAGCCATACTGGACCAGTTGACTTTACAATTTAGATTATCTGACATTTAAATTTAAATCTCAAAAAATATATAGTTTAAATGAGTTTTTATCAGAATATAACTTTTGTATACAAATTTTTACCAATTTTTTTTATATAAAATAATATTTTTACAAAAGATTTTTAATACCTAGTTCTTGAAAACAAATTAATAGTAATGTGAATGCTTTAACTTTTCTAAAAGTTAATTTATATATATATATATATATATATATATATATATATATATATATATATATATATATATATATATATATATATATATATATATTTCTAATGTATAGATCTGTATGTTTATACTTTTTTGTTTTATTGAGCTTTTTAGCCAAATCAATTTTTGAAAGTTGTTGGTCTTATTTAATAGCTTGCTGTCATGTATTTGATGATTACAAGATAGTATTCAATGTACCATTGGCAACTTGGCCTAGCGGTAGAGAGCTAGACTGCTAACCTGAAAGTCTTTAGTTGGAATCCGGGGTCAAATCAGTAGAAAATAAAAGCGGCTGGGCATAGTGCTGACCACACTCTCTTCATATGCCCAGGTCATAGAAACAGGTGAACTCCATCTGCCCCATGTGTCTTGGGCACAAATAGGAAAAGATGAGATGATTCAATATACATAGCTCTTATCCATAAATGTTACTACCACTAAATAGTTTAAAAAACTAACATCTTTAACCTATGTGTTTCTGTCTAGTGTGACAAAAAGTGGCAGCACAGAAGGGCTAGTCAGAGTAAACCAAGGAAAAACTGAAGACCCTAAAAAGACAGCAGCAATTAAACAAAGGGAGAGCAGTCATGATTATGATTGAAACCAGCAGTTTTAAATTAGTTTTCTGCTTTCTTATTATAGTTTCCGAATTATTATTATTATTTCAAATCAAAAGAAACCACTTTAATTTATTTTGACCAAAGTTTTAATTTATTTATGATAAATTAGATCTGCTTTTAAACTCTCTATTTATTATAATTTAGAAGTTGGGTTGTATTTTTTATTATTCCTCTAAATGATATCTAGTTTTCTTTAAAAATTGTTCAGTTTTCCTAAAGACTGAACATCATCATTTATTAATCATTTTTTTTTTTTAAATTATTCATAGAACAATCTTGCCTCAAACTAACATCTTGTTAATATTTAGATTTCAAACAATTATCATCTACTTTAGCTGAAATATCTATCTTTCAGTGATGAATTTTGAGTTCATTTTAAATGAATGGCTGTTCCAAACTTTGTAAATCTGAAGAAGACTGTGTTTTCTGTGATGAAAAAGTCTAGAAAGAAACAGCCTGCTAATAAATTCAACTTCCAAGACAGAATAAAATGTTTATAAATAATAAGCTGTTTTTCCTTCCCCAAACTCACCCTAGTGTCTACTTTGCATTAGGGTCACATTAGCACAATTTATTTGATTCAAAAACCTTGAGCATTAACGACCCTAGGTCTTTTTTACCCTGTGGCTTCACTGTGATAAGTGGTTGCTTTAAAAGTTTTAAATAGTTTTTTTTTTTAAATATATGGAGTGTATTTTGAGATGATTGAAGATGTGGATGTCCAACATTAGACTTTTCCAAAAATAGGTGTGGTAGGTTGTTAGTAGTATTTGTAATCTCAACTAATTTTATGGATATAAATTAGGGTTAGGTGTATAGCTAGATCAGGGTTAGTGATAGGGTTAGCGTTGACATTAGCAAGCCATGTATATATATTTTAGTTAACTACCAGTAACCTAACACCCCTTTTTTTTAGAAGATTCTATTATCGGACACTGGTTAAAAAACATCCCCCAAATTTTGTAATGCATTTTTTGAAATGTAAAAATAATACTTGTACAGTATATTCAAAAACAAAATGTTTCAGTTTTGAAAACTTGTTAATACATTTTAAAAATATTTTACAATCTAATGAAATGTTAGTCTAGTTCATTTATTAATAAAATCAAACCCATAGTCTTCCATAAATTAGATATTTTTTTAAAAATCCAAAATCGGTTAAGCTAAAGTCACGGTTTTATTATTTCATTAAGACAGGTATTTTTTTAATGTCACACCTCTTGCTTATATAGGCCACTGCCTGTCTCCAGTCATTGATTGACAGGTAGCTTATCATTAGCTGGGCTTGTGATTTTTTTTACCATTTATGTACAGACCTTAAATGCTTATATCATCTGGTGTCTATTCATTGGTTCATGTAAAATATAAGACAGAATGTTCTTATGTGTTTTGTTGTCCTTTTTGTTTTCTAAAAGAATTTTTTGCCGCCCTCAAGGACAAAATAAATTTACATAACATTATATGCTTCCATAATGTGGCTTTGAATCATTGGTTTTTTGTTTTTTTTGTAAATAAAAGAGAATGTTCAACTAGCTCAAGCTTTGTTGTCATTTTTTTTGTCTTGAACATTTTTTTAGAAATTGTAATTGATCTATTCAACAGAGTAAATTTTGTCTTTAATAGAAAAAATAAACTAGACTGAATGTTTAAATGTGAATGGAGATGATGACTAGATGATGTGTAGTAAAAAAAAGCCCTTTTTTAATTAAAATGATTAGCATAAAATGGCGGCTATTGAAATAACAGAATGCAGATTAATATTTAAGACTTCGAGAACAAAAGATCAAACTATTTGGCAAAAAAAAAATCAATTTTCTTTTAAAATTCTGAGCTCTTACAACAGTACACCCTTATTTATGTTATTTTTTTATTAGTTGCTTCAAATCGAAACAGTTATCTTAGTTTTCTATTGGGTGAAAATGAACATTAAAAATCTCATTAATAAAATGTGTTATTTTTTAGTTGTTAGTGTTTTAGATAAGCAGATCATGCTACATTCTTTACCTAATATCGCTGCTTTTAACTGCGTATTCTAGAACATGCAACCATTTGGAAAAGGACATGCGTAGTTTACACATTTATTTAATCATAAGTGTTTTACAAATTCAATTCTCAAACAAGATACAAAAATCCTTAATGGGTTAATCAAACAAATATAATAGAAACCACAGCATGGCCACAAATGTAAGCAGGAATAATAAAATGTACAAAATTTTGGTCTGTGTAGTCAGATAATCTGGCATAAAAAAATGAACGATAGTTCATTAGTTGCCAGAAGGCCTTACTTTTCAAAAGGGTTTAAATAAATAGTTTTCTAAGAGAAAAATTACTGTTAAAATACCTAGTTGGAGAAATGAAATTTTCGCAACCAAAAACTGAGCAAAATGAAAATAAAACGCAATTAAATACTCATGATACTAATGCATGGTCATATATCGTGAAAAGTATTTAGTATGCTATAATGTATACGTGATCATACTTTGGTATCGTCTTTCTATTATTGATTTAAAATAAAGAGTCCCAGGCTCTTTTTTGTGCGTAGTTTTGGGATGCGCATTTTTCATGTCCTCCGTTGGATATGCCCCTATTTAAAGTTTGTAAAGAATTATACACTTATACAGTGAAACTAAAATGTGACATAAAGATGTATATTGACACAAAAGTACAGTGTGTATTGATCTTATAATTTTATAGCCACGTAAATAAGTACTTTAATAGCCAAGCTTTTGCAAATTTTAAGCTAAATGGACGGTAGTTTTAATGTCGTCAGGTGAGAGAAAATTATAAAAATAATTGAGCTGCCTGATTGGAAAACAAGAACAAATATGGTCCAACTCGATAATTAAAAAAAATAAAAATTAAGCATATTTTTTATACGCATTTCTATTTAAGATTATACATTCCTAATTAACCAATTACAAATCACATGCCAACTATATGACATAATTATGCGTAAAATAACAATAGGTTTCAGATACAATTTTATCTTAGGGGTCATCTATAAATGACGTCACGCTTTTTCAACGATTTTTACCTCCCCCACCCCTCCCGTCCGTCTCACATCGTCACAAAAAGCCAGACCCCCTCCCCTAAAATGACGTCACACCTCAGCCTACAATCCCCCTCAAAGTTGCAGTTGAATTTTTCTTAAAACATCGATATTTTTCCTAAATCTTGTCTGAACTCTGTCAAAATAGAGTATTTTATTCAATTCCTATTGAAATTTATTAAAACAGTTTTCTAAAACGCAAAATAACGTCTAAAAATCGTTTTCTAACATTGCTTTTTAATAATGCAAAAGCGTGACGTCGCACAATCTGACCCCTCCCCCCCTCGTCACACACCGTCACAGAATTACGGATCCCCCCCCCCTGTGAGTGTGACGTCATTTACGGACGGCCCCTTTTGCTTTTCTTTCAATCAGCAAAAACACGTTTAACACGGGGAATGTAGAACAACAACACATGAGTTGAGTTAAAAACAAGGAATGATTTTTGTTTCGTTTTAATACTGATCAATGTATCCGAGTTTCCACCAACGTTCTTCGTCCGCATAACAATATAAATTATTAAAATAAAGTATTACGTCAGCGTAACAATACAAATTATATTTTTAAAGTATCACAATTTTTAGCACACTATCCAACCGGTGAAGTGTAAAGTGGCCTTTGGGTTAAAACGTAAGTAAAATATTTTATTTACAAAACAGATTTTAATTTCATTGAATTAATTAAAAAAAAATTATTTTGGCTCTTAGCGTTTAGATGTTGGTTCGGGTTTGTCAAAAATCTGGTTCACGCTGAGTTCTTTTTCCCTGTCCATAACATTCCTGTGTCGGATATACCTGGAAAGTAATGTTGAAGCATGTAATTATTAGTACACAAGCCTGTCTGTTGCTTGCTATGTTGTTCTTTTATCCACACACAAAAATATGACGTAAAATCAAACTAGTCACACAAGCTACACAGTAAAAACCTTAACAAAAAATTAGGAATTTCAAAGTTCGACCAAAGAAACAAAGCAAGCTAATACTACAAAATATATAGGCTAAAAGACAGAGGCGTAGTTAGGGGAGGGCGAGTGGGGTGGCCGACCCCAGGTGGCACCAAACAGAGTAGAAAAACAAATAAAAGGTGCATTCTGAGCTGCATTAAGGAACTATACAAAGTCAACGTTATGAAAATATACTGCTTATTGGCTTTCTAGACTGATGTAACTGCTTTCTACACCACTTGAGTGACATCAAAATAAAAACTGATAACGGACAGCGAATGATAATAACCGCACACAAACCTCTTCAAATGAGGGAGGGGAGCTTTTCAGAGGCGTAGTAAGGGGGGGGTGGGGGGGTGGGTACATATTGTCGTTGGTCGCAGACTCAAGGGGCGCCAAAATGGGTTGTTTTAGCTGCAGTTTTGAATTATAAACATAAAAATTATATGGGGGAGGGTGCCAAATTGATAGTTTGTCCCCGGGCGCCGGGAGGGATTGCTAAGCATCTGGTGCTTCTCGCCACTGTAAATAACTAAATATAAAGGGTGTGGGGGCGCAAAATTAATCGTTCGCCCCTTGTGCCGGTATGAGCTGCTACGCCTCTGCTAAAAAACTACCATTTGGAAGTTGTATAAAACCCACCAAAGCAGTTTGGTTTTTAAAAAGAAAAAGAAAACATGAATATAGAAAGGGATGCGTCTTAAGAAGAACATCCAAAGAACTAGGCCTACATCCAATTTTTCGACTGCTCATTTCGTAATTTTATTATTAGAATCGCTATAAAATATTTGTTAAAATAATAATCAACTCTTACCTGGCATTCATGGCTTGAGCATAAGCTTGATCAAATCCTGGCAACTTGTGTACTGTCCTCAGGGAGCCGTCAGGGTTGTAGTGCTCAGGGTCCCATACGACCGCCTTGTCCCCGGGCATTAGCTCGGGCCTGCTGTTTCTTCTTGGCCCCTTGGGAAGCTGGGAAGGTACATCATTAGATCATTGTCACAACTCTGATAAAATACTTGACATCAACATTATTGAGGAATTAATAAAGGTTAATTGGTTATAATCAAGATCTAGTACAATTGTAGATCGCTGATTTCATGAAGGGATCATGCAAATACAAATAATTGTATACAAATAATAAAACAAAAAAATACTTTTTTTTTTGAAACAGTAAAGGCGCCTGGGCATAGTGCTAATCACGCTATCCCGTCATATGCCGAGGTCACAGAAACAGGTCAACTCTACTTCACTCGCCCCATGGACGTCAGGTTCGTAATGGGACCTTACTTTTTTTTTAAAATCCCATATCATGTCTTATATTATTTTTATAGACCCCCCCCCCTTCCCGTCGTAATATACAACATTCGGCCAGAGTTTCTTTCAGGCATCTTTTGCCACCCCCCACCCCCATTCCATCCGTCATGTACACGTCTACCACCACCCTCTCCCCCAGATGAAATTAAAATTATAACCAGCATTTAATCCCTTCCCCTACCACATGTTTGAATACCCCATCACCAGGAGAAAAAATGTCTGAAAGAAACCCTCCGCATAGCATAACATTTTTTATAAATATCACAAGTCTACCCATTGTGATCTGAACCATTGTGGTCTACCCCCAGTGGCGTAGCGAGGTCGGGTGTCACCCGGTGCGGCACTTAATGGTGTCACCCCCTCAGAGGCGTAGCGACTCTTCCCGGGGACAAATTTACGATTTGCATACCCCCAAACTTTCGATTTGCACCTCCCCCCCCTCAAATTTTTCTCTCTGGTGTCACCCGGTGCGATCCGCACCCCCGCCCCCCCCCCCTCGCTACGCCTCTGTCCACCCCTATGGATTGGGTTTTCGGCTAGGGGTTTGTTTTAGGTCCTGCTAACACAAATCATAACATTATAAAGCACAGTTTTTCTTCTAAGTAATACCATCACTATTAACATCACCGCCAACAATATAAATCGAAGATTAAAAACACGTTTTCTATACAAAAAATCGATACAAAATTTCATACCCTTGTACTAATTTGTGTTACATCTGTATTTTTAAACAAGCAAATACAACTATACATTTCAACACGTTTGAATATTTAGTTACATGATTATAAGTGGCAGGTATGTGCGTGAAGAAACCTTTGATTTTTTTTAACAACCAGTTCCTTAATAAGCAAATCGAAAAACAAGTCACCGACGCTATAAACACATTTGATCGCACGATTTCAGACGGTGTATTACATTGAAATAATTTAGCCCCCTGTCGTCTCAATAGCATGTATTCATGTGAAATTGAATAGAAAAAAAGTTTGATGATATTGTTAATGCGTTAGAGTATGATCGATTGGGCGGTCTATCTTGATATTAATTTTAAGGTATAGAGAAGGTGTGTATTGAAAGTTTTTTTTTTAAATTTTATTTAGAGGTAAGTTTTTTCTTGTAAGGTGCAGTTCGAAATAAGTTTTCTGAAAACGAATTAGTAAGAGGTGGGTGGAGTAGTGTAAAGGTGTGAGTGGGGTGTGTGTGTGTGTTTTGTGGATATGTC